AAAATCTGCCGGACGTTTCCAGAGTTCGAAACGGTTCACCCGAAGAGAATATTGTGAACACACTTCCCGCCACGTTTATGCCTCTGCTCGCCTCTTTGTCTCCAGAGTATTACGATATCGCTTTGGGGAAGATTGTGGATTTCGTGTCCAACCATGTCATTCACCAGGCTCGTGATGCAATGGCTTTCATCTGCAACGCCCTGTGCAAGGTTAATCCCGAGAAGGCCCTCAAGCGTTTTATCCCTGTCTTGACTGCAGCTATCCGCACTGAGATTGATGATAATGGTGCTGGATCAACCCGAACCACAGGAACCGATGTCTTGCCTCGTGATAGAGGTCTGGTTTGGAATGTCAGTATGCTGAGTATGTGTGTGGTACATGTCGGCAGTGCCGTCATTGGGCACCGCCAAGAACTGTTCGACATTGCAGTCTACATGCAACAGAACTGCCGTGGCATTCCTACAGTCCATATATCCAACTTTATTCACCACCTTTTGCTCAACTTGACTGGCACCTACACTAATGATTTCTCACTCTATGAACCTTCGGTCATAGCGAACGGCATTGAGCCGAAGCTTTGGAGTTACCAAGCTGACGTGAACAATCTTAATATCAATTGGCATGTACCGACGCGTCAGGAAATTGAATTCGCCGTCGACGTTTTCAAAATCCAAACAGAGACTGCTTTGAAGTCGCTATCTGCGCTGACTCATGAGACATCAAGTGTCAAACGTGATGGAAGTGGCAAGGACTGGTCAGACGAGGTTACTCGGAACCTCGTGCTCCTGCGACTCGTGTTGTCCGGAGTTTCTGTCCTGTTTGACCCCAAAGCAGCATCAACCACAACACAAGGACCTCCAAACGGCAGTCATGGGGATGTCGAGATGGGGGATGACTCGGGTGTTTCAAATGACGTTGATCATGATGCCGATTCTGTCTTGGACAGCTCTGATGATGCGATCATTAGGCAAGCTTTCACCTACCCCACTGGGTATGCCCTCAAGGAAGGAGATCCGTTATATGCTACCATTCATGAACTCCGTGAGCGAACTGGCTGGATCTTGCATGATGTACATCGGTTCTTGAGCGATAACCAAGAGGATGATGTTCCATGCTTTGGGGCGTTGTACTCTGCCTTCAGATCGTGGTTTGTTGATGTCGGCATTGAGAGGTCTGCTCATGTACTCGACCGAGTGACTCGCCTCTTGGCCGCCGACACTCATCCTTATAAGATGAGTGGTATGCGAAAAGACTACCCCAGAGCCCTGCTTGTGCGCAGAGCCAACGTGTATCACCTCCAACGCCTACGACATAACGCTTCTCCCCGTCCTCGGTCTAAGCTTGATGAAATTCTTCTTCTTGATATTGCCGAATCTTGTGTCTCAGTCTACACAGAAACGCGCCGCAATGCTCAAAACGCAGGCGAATCGGCACTCAAGGCGGTTTATGGCGGCAGATTGCTCGTCATTCCGCCTCTGCTCACGGCTCTGCAAAAGGGTGTCAAGGAAAATGACCATGCACGCATCAAGGGAGCACTCTACTCGCTGCTTCTGAGCAGCGTAGCCAAAACCGTCGGACGGCATTGGAAGTATGCGCCTGCTGTGATCAGAACTTTCATCGATGCCAGCGCCGTTGATAAGCCTTCCGTCCAGAAGATTTGCTCCACCGCAGTCTTCCAGGTCATGGACTACGGCCGCGCGATGGAGCGGATGGCTATCTTGGATCAAGAAATCGTGGAGGCAATTGCTCCTATTGAAGATGTGACCGGGCAGATCGAGAAAAAGCGTGCAGTTGTCAACAGCAAACGCGTTGCTATCGAGAAAAAGAAAGCTGACCTGGCTGAGGAGCTAGTCAACCTGGCCCGGGTATCCCATTGGAAGATTGCCAGTCGTGCTGCGACCATCGTCATCACTATGGGTCTCCGCTTTGACTATATCGCCAGCGATAACTTAATCGAGCTGATGACACTCGGGTCAATTGACGACCATCCTGGCTTGCGAGGCATGTATTCCCAGGCCCTCATCGCATTGTTCACTATGATTGACGTGCGGGCCATTTGCACTCACGAGTACAAGAACTACATTCTTGGCCATCAGCGTTTTCCCTCAAAGATCAAGGTTGCAACGAAACCCTTTGAGAAAGGGTACACCCAGGAATATCTTTCTAGTTTTGCGAAGCCTGAAGCGGAGTACTACGTTGATCATGACTTCCCGGGCTGGCTTGTGTGGGGCAAGACTATGCCGGCTTACAAGTCCAACGTAGCACGAGACATCGAGTATGATGAGGTTGAATGGAAAGTTCGTACCAAGATGGGCAAGTTGTTCACTCGCCAGTGGTTCTCCAAGTTCTTCATGTACTTGAAACAAGAGCCACGGGACCCATCTGCTGACAAGTTCCGCATGTCCTGTGCCATGATGCTTCTCTACGCATTTGAGCTCATGATCCGGGATGGACTAACAGCCGTCTCATTTGAGGAAATCCAAGAAGAGATCAAGGATGTCTTTGAAGACGGCAGTGATAAACACCAACATCGTGCAACTGCTGAAATTCTCGGGGCTTTGATTTCCTCTGTGACAGACACGGGTGTGGAAAAGCGGACCATGGTCTGGGAGTATGCATTCCCTATTATACGAAAAATTTTCACAGACGGCCTCACTCCCGAAAATTCTGGCTACTGGACAACATTCCTCCACATGATACTTCAATGCCGGGATCCCCGCCGCGCCTGGCCATTGGTAGATTGGCTATCCAGCTTCCGTCTTGATATGACGACCAATGCGGCATTCAAGGAAAGTTCCAAGATCAACCTCCTGCACCAATGTATCATTGATTCCGGTTGGCACTACCAGCTTGAGAAGCCCATTGTGGAAGATTTCCTAGGACATTTGGACCATCCGTATAAGGGAGTCCGTGAGGCAATGGGTCAGACTCTCGCAACCATTTATCGTACGAGATACCACGAGTCATATCCTGATGTTCAGCATCTTCTCGAGGCACAGAGATCCTCCTCTTCTGTTGGCACATACCCCTACCCGCCTACTGAAGACTTTACGAAGGTGGTTCGTGGAGTTTTTAGTCAGATCGAGGAATGGCGGAAGGCCAGAACCCCTGGACAACAAATTCCCTCATCCTACACCTCGGGTAGCAAAACTGTTCTCCTTTGGCTCGACTCGACTCTATCTTCCCACGAGTGTACCCAACTTGTCCCATTCTTCCCTGATGTCTTCACAGCGCAGCTCCTGCACATGATGGATGTAAAGGAAGACCCAGAGCTTCAGTCTCTCGCATACCACGTTTTCCGTCACCTCCCCAACATCCCTTACCCAGCCGAGAAAAACTCCGAATTTATCCAATCTCTCATCCGCATCGGACAGACATCCCCATCATGGCACCAGCGCCTTCGCATCATGATCAACATCCAAATCATCTACTTCCGTCGTCTGTTCCTGCTCGACCCCGCAGACCGCGACAAGCTTTTCGAATGCATCGCCTCCATGCTTGAAGACCCCCAACACGAAGTTCGCGCGGGCGCCTCGGCCACACTCTCCGGTATGGTCCGATGCTCGCCCGTCTTCCTGCGGGAAAAGATGGTCAGTCGCTTCCATGAACGCTTCACAAAGCTTCTGGTAGACAACCCCCTCCCTAAGAAACCAAAGAGCTTCCGCTCAGCAATCGCCTCTTCCGCTGTCTCATCCGGTGCTGGAACCCCTACTCCTGAGCACAACCGCTTGATTATTGTTCGCCACGGTGCTGTGCTGGGTCTTGGCGCTTTGATCCAGGCCTTCCCCTACAACAGTCCTCCGCCTCACTGGATGCCCGAGGCATTAACTTCGCTCAGCATCCGCGCGGCCAATGATCCTGGCATTGTTGGTTCGAGCGTGAAGTCGATTATCAGCGAATTCAAGAAGACGAGGCAAGATACTTGGCACATTGATGCAAAGGTTCGTGCTTATGCGTTTAACTTCATTTTCTTTCGAAGCAAACGACTAACGATTATGATTACAGGCTTTCACATCCGATCAGCTAGAAGACTTATCAGGTGTTCTATGGAAGAGCTACTTTGCGTAGATGGAACTTGGATATTTGTGATTCTTCTGTTCTCGGATGGGCAGAGAGTATCTGATTGCTTCTCTGGCCCAACTCCTAACAATATTGTGATTAATGGCCGTTCGTATATATTCCTCGATCTCCCCACATCCCGAGCTCTCTGATGGGGCGATCTATCTTTAGTACGAGAATGAAAGACCTGTGCTATCTTTATATGCCCTTAATCTAGACACTGTAGAATACTCTCTACTTCCGAGGCTATGTGTAGTTGGGACCAACCTGCTTGAGAAGAATAAACACTGGATGTTGTATTGTGTTCCAAAGCTCTATAGTATGCCTGTGGTAAGCTCCTTCAATAAGCCACAAGAAGGCAATGTGACAAGTGCAAGAGCAAATGGACAATACTCTTTGTGCTTTAGATATTCAGCAAGTAGCCAAACCAAAGGAATGAGATAGCATTCGCTCAAATGGAATGAATTGTTCCTAAGTGCCTACGTTGGTCCCATTCAATGAAGTATGTCTAGTAGATAGGAACGTTTGATCTGATACTACTTAACGAAGTACTGTATGTCCCACGGCGTGGTACATTGTATGACGAACACGCAGAGTATCTAACATATAACTGATTTGGCAATCGTGCAACATTGATATCCTTGCCTACTAGGTTGGATTCAGACAAAGTGTGGTATTACCCAAGTCTTCGTCGGGGATGCAGTCAACACCGCGTAGTAATGACATCGTAGGCCTCTCAACCCTGTCTCGTAGATATTACGGGCAAACGACTCCCTTCGCTTTTCTTCCATTGATCCTTGATTTGCTCATACAATCGATTCACTATCCTTTTATTCTCTCACCTCTGCACTCTCCTTCCCATCTCACCAGCGCACCATGCGCATCTCGCGGCTCCCAAAGCCAAAGCATGAGATTATTCACCCTGTGAACTGTCACTCACTATGAAGTTTCTCACAAGGCACAAGACGCCATCTCCTTTTAATACTATGTCTTCCGTCCCTCCATGGGATCGCCGATGGACCTGCTTGCGCTGGCTGGGGTATCTTACCTTCCTGATCACTGTTATCCAGACTAGCTCATATCTCTTTGGGCACCCGGAGACAAACCTTGTTCAAGTTGTCTATGATTCGTTCCATCGTCCTGGAATTCTTCGGCCTGGTCAATATCATGGGGTCGTTGATGTTGGGGACAAGGTAGCAGACGAAGACTCATCTGAGCCAGATGCGATGGGTATGGCACATGATCGGAGGTTCGTACCTATTCCAATCTATGAACGCACCGGTATAACATCCTGCTAATGATAATTCCGACATAAGAGACAAGCGATTCTATCTAGGCGGTACCTTAACCCTAACCAGTATCGAGTCTGCCAATGCCTCGCACCCAGTCCCACTTATCTACGATCCATACCCAGCATACAACAGTCGGGAATGGAAGAAGCAGTTCCGTGGAAAGTTTCGACCCTGCCTTGGCCCCAGGGGTCGTGATCTCGATCGCCGGTCTGCAGAAGATATGATCCAAGTCTACAAGGGCCAACAAGCTGGGTTCCCAGCACCACGATTTGGATCTTACGAGGCATTGGGTCTGGATGGAAACATTTGCACAGACCGGTACTCACGCTTCGGGGCATACGGATATGACGACGATGGCGAGGACGAGGTACCGGGCTTCATGCGCCCACCCATGGTGCCGTGGTGCGAGGTCGATTGGCACAGACTACAAAACCTCTGCCTGGAAAGAAATGCAAACAGATACGAGTCAACTGAGACTGTGAACTCCTCAACTCAAAGTCCACTGGCCTTTGACCTTCCACAGGGTCCTCCTAAATCATGGGAGTCACCTGTGGGTGCTTCGGGTGTGAAGCAGTTCCAACCTCGCTCGGTACTGTTGATTCGGGCTTGGAATGGGCTCGATTGGAAGCCTCACCATCGCGAATATATCCGGGCTTTGATTATGGAACTTTCTTTGCATTCTGGGGGAGAGTATCAGATCTATATCTTGTGCCATGTCAAAGAAAACGAGATGCCCATATTTTCTGATATCACTACCATCAACCGGCTCAGGAGTTCCATTCCCAAGGAATTTCGGAACATGGCTCTGTTCTTCAATAACAAACTCCTGGAGGCCTGGTATCCAAAAATAGCAGAACACAGGTAAGTCGATCAATCTTCCATTGACTGATGTCAACGACAGCTCTTGCTAACATCACCCTCAGTCCCCAACTTCAACACCACCAACCTCTGCAAATATTCTCCCAACTCTATCCCCACTTCGACTACTATTGGCAACTTGAGATGGATGGTCGTCACACAGGACACATCTACCACTTCTTAGACCGAGCGGTCTCATTCGCACGCCAACAACCCCGCAAATACCTTTGGGAACGCAACGCCTACTTCTACACCCCCGGCGCGCATGGCAACTGGAGTCAATTTACGCAAATGGTGCACGAAAGCCTATCCGATAAGTCCAACCGCACAGTCTGGGGGCCAGTATCCCGCACAGGAATCCGGCCACTGGGCCCGGAGCCGCCAGTGCCATACCCAGACCAAGACAACTACACCTGGGGCGTGGGCGAAGAAGCCGACTTCATAACGTTCCTGCCAATCTTCAATCCACAAGACACGCAGTGGACATTCCCGGACAAAGTCTGGAACTTCAAATATGGCGAGGGCACACCGCGCCGCGCCGCAGTCATCACAATGGGCCGGTACTCGAAGCGTCTGCTCGATCTGATCCACCACGCACAGGCGACAAAGGGACTTGGTCTTGCGTCGGAAATGACGGGTTCGTCCTGGGCTTTGTTCCATGGTCTCAAGGCCGTGTATGTTCCCCACCCTATCTATGCGGATGGCCAGTGGACGCCGAAGGAACTGGCGCGCATTTACAACCCCGGTCCGCCGGAGAATATCAACGGGGGTCCCGACAGTATTTGGAATTTTGATCATATGTTTGATCATATCATGTACCGGCTCTCGTATATGTTCACGACGCATAGCGCGGAGGACTTGTACAGACGCTGGCTGGGGTTCAGGACTGCGGAGCATGAGGGTGGGAAAACGGTAAGTATAATTTCTTCTGCTGTTGTTGGTTCCTTTGGTTTGGTTTTGAGATGCGAATAGTTGACTGATGCATCTAAAGATATCCGAGGACCGCTATGGGCGACATTGCTTCCCGTCTATGTTTCTTCATACAATCAAGAACACAGCTCAAGGGATGGGCCCAGACAAGGCTGTTCCGTGATCTCTACCCATTGGTTGGCTTGTTGACATGCTAATTTTCTTTTGCTTGGAGTTATCTGGCGTTGAGGTAGAATGAAAGCACATATGATTTGCGTCAATATCCAATTTACTGGAATATGAAGCCTAACAATACCATTTGCAAATGAAACCACCCATTGTCCTAATTAAATCACAGGAAAATCTATTGAAAGGGAGCTAAGTGAGATACTGAAATCATCTGATTGAGCTCTATTAAACAATCGTAGAATTGCACAAAACCCAAATCCATCGCTGTATACATAAAGGAAGAAGGGCGAAAAATAGCCACAAAAGCAGGCTAGAATGAAGGAAAAGTGGTAACTTATGTACTAATGGAACAACCTGAGAAGCCGAGAGCAATTTATCATTCATATGCTCTGTGAATTTTGATAATCCCCGTCCCAAAAATGAAAGCAGTCCATCTCATAGCATCGTTAAGAATCCCAGGGAAGTAAGTACCTCTTCCTCTATCCCCTGGCATTATACTTCTCGTTGAAAGCATTGACCGCTGGAAGAAGGCATTTGATTAGCATACGGCATTATGTAGCATCATGTAGGTAAACACTTACCAACAGCAATCTGTCTATACAGCCAGTTCCGTGAGCTTTCGTCTTGTACGGGAATGAAAGGTCCGTTGGCACCACCCTTGAGCGTGATGCTCATTCCCGTGCGCTCCTTGGAGATGGTCTGGATATCCGTGAGACGGATATCCCATTCAGTGTACAACTTCTTCGTGCGCACTAGCGTGATGCGTGCGTACGTCAACAAGACTAGCATATCTCGACCAGGAAGTTCTAGGTGGGCAATGTAGTCCTCGTTGAAGTATTTGCCGTCGTCTGTGGTCTTCAGCCAGAACTGGCCGAGAGCTTCACGTTGCGAGTATGGGCGCACAATACCGTCGGTACCAATGAAGCGGGTGAGGCGAACGCGGTCGAGACCTTCGGCATCGAAAACGGTAGTGGTGTTGCGAACGCCTTCTGCCAGATCTAGTAGAGAAATGTTAGTCATGAATAGCAAAGAAAGAAAATGGGTCAACTTACTGGAGGCAAGATCGAATGCACCAATTGCTGGCTTGGTGGCCAATCCAAGAACACCCTTTCCAACACCCTTGAAGAATCCTTGGATACCTTCTTTCTCGGCACCTTGAAGTGGATGGCGTGCCAATCCACCGATGCCGCTTGCTAGACTAGTTGCAAATGCATTGCCACCAGCCGTGATTCCATACAGCGCGTGCTTGGGACGGTTGCGCACCTTGGACATCCGGCGCTGGGTTTGGAATTCCTTATCAAGAGTAGCAGCGGCGAGACCCTTCGACATACTTCCAGTGAGCTTGGCCATACTGTCCGAAAACCCAAAGACGGATTTCTTGACAAAACTTGTAGCGCCTTTTGCGATACCCATACCAAGCTCTTGGGGACGGTCAGTCATGACCAGGCCTTGATATGGCTCATAGAAGATGGCGGCCACACCAGAGCTGACATTGTTGAACAAACCGACAGGGTTACCCAAGAAGTCGGCCGAACCAAGAATGATATGGATCTGGCGCAAGAATTCTTGAGTGTAGTGTGCACGGATATTGCCGACGAGGCTGGGGAAAGAGACACGCGCATTCTCGAGCATCAGAGCGTTGAGTCGGACAGGCGCATCATTAACATTACCCATTGACATTGTCATGACGTTGACAAAGAACATCAACGGGTTAGAGGGTTGCATAGCATCTTCCACATTGACGTGCTCGGTACGCATGAAAGAGATATCCACCTGCATGGGCTGGAGGTGAAGGAGCTCGAAATATACATCCTGACCATTGTCTGCCTGTTGCGGCTCGGGAATGTTGAGGTCTTCATCACACAGTTTGCCTTCTTGTTCCTCTGTCCACGAAGCACCCGGAATCTTGACAAAGTCGAGCATGGCAAAGACAAAGTCCTCATCCAGTTCGAGTGTCATTTGCTGCAATAGTAATGTCGCGTACTTGATATAGAGAACACCATATGAGTCGTCCTTAACCCGTGTAACCATTGCATGGAAAATCGGGTGTGCTTCCATCTCCTTGCCAGTCTTCGGAACAACGCTAGGGTAAAGCAAGATGGGGAAAATTCCACCATAGAGTTGATTATCGATCTGGATCCACTTGATTGTAGTGTTCAGAGTCTGGTACAATCTCGACTCCCTAAACTTGATCTCAATCTCACGGAATGTGAGATACAACAGCTCTTTCAGGTTCTGGTTGATCAATGAGATTCCAATGCCGCCCAGGCGAAGTTGGGCCTTGAAGTTGACGTCCGAGTGCATTTCCTTGACCTCGAACCCAGTGTTCGTGCCGGTCTGGGAAGGTTGTCCTCTTTGTTGCTTGTACATGCTCTTTGACGGTTTGAAGTTGGACAGCACGAGGGTCTGAGTGGGACCATCAGCAGCAATGCTGATGTCAATAATCTTCTGGAATCCGCCAGGCTGCGAAGGTGGAATCCGCATTGGGATCAGGTTACCTATCTCAGCAAGCTTGATATGGCGCTCTTTGCCCTGGCATGTCAACACGAGCGACTTATTCTTCGTCGCTGGGTAGTCCCATGCATACGGCATGATACTCCGCGGGGGAATCCGATACCGGATTGGCCTCCAGCCGCTAGTCTGGTCGTCTTCATCATCATCTTCCACATTTGGATTGGCTTGGTAGAAAATGAACTCCATATCGCTTTCGTTACGCATGGAAAACGGCCAGTTGCGAGACTCGATGCTGAAGTGCAAGAAAAGAGTTGCTCCTTCCAAGATAATATCAACCTTGATCAGCTTCTGCCGCTGGTTGGCCTTGGCCAATTTAACGTGCACAGTTCCAACATCTGCGATGTTGAAAGGAGAAGACCACTGGTTGTTGACACCGGGGAAGCAGAGGCACAGCTGCTTTTCTTGCACTTGACGAAGGAAATGAAGTGGTACCAACTGTCCGTTTTGAACCTGGAGTACGTTGGATGAGCCTGGCTCGCGCACCAGAAGATCTTCATTGAGCTTGCTCTTTAAGATGAAGCGTGGAGCAAGAGTGACCACCTTGGTCAACTTGTACTTGCCCTCGCCTTCGGCAACAGACACTCCGGAGTGGAACTCAGATCTACCCTGGCGATCAGGGAAGATAACCTCAAATGTACTACCAATAGCCTCAAAACTCTGCGGCTTGCTCCATGCAGAATCGCTGACCTTTAAGATAGATCGGTTTCGCTGATCCTCAGTGGCATAAGAGTACATATATGGGAGTGCACGGCCCTCATCTCTTGGATCAGCTCTGAGTCCTTGACCAGCAGCATTTCTCGCAGACTGAAGGAATGCTTTGCTCTGAATGTCCATGGGAAGACCAGTCTTGTTCAAGATAAGGTAAGGGCTGTACACAGAAACCTTGAAAGCACCACCGCTGTTGGGAATGTTAAAGTAATGAAGCTGTAACTTCAGTTGAAGACCTCGCTCATCCTTAAGAGACAAAGTATGCTCTCTGCGGTAGTCTTGAGCATTGCCATTAACGATAGCGAACTCACTCTGCCGGAAGACCGTATCTTGCAGATCAATGCTAAGCAACAGTAAGTGGGACAGCTCCACGACGTGGACCGGGCTGACGCCCCCCCTTCCTCAGGAAGTTCGTCCAATCCTTCTTGGTATTCTTGTCATAGATGCGGTACTTGAAGTCATAGGGCAAGAGGTTCTGAATCTCGACGGGAGCAAATATCCGGATTCTCATGTATGGATACACGCTCGTCAAAGAATCTTTGCTGTCATACGTTGCATTGACTTGGAAATAGAACGGAGGAGATTGCCCTCCGCTTTCGCTGACGCACTTGACAGTGCGTGTGGGTCGCCTAATGAGGTCCTTCCAGAACAGTCGCTCACCTGACCAGTCATATCCGAAGCCCTGGTCGGGACGAACAACAACAGAATGGAGATATGCTGATCCGACAGGTGCCGGTCTTGCATCACCAGGCAAAATCTTCTCGATCTTCAATAAGTGGCCTTCTCCGGGGCTGAAAATGCCCATTTCCACGGGAATTTGAGTGTTGTTCTCGATAAGAAGTGGCGAGCGGAATGTGATGTACTTAACATTGTCGGGTCCCAGCTTGACTTCCACAAGTAGCCGGTGAAGAACATTTTCTTGCTTCGGCTTCAGAGCGTAGATAGTCTCGCCTTCGCGTACGACAGGAATGCGGCTGATACTATCAAAGCCACTGCCTTCCAATTTGACACCAACCACTCCGCCGTGGCCTTCTGGTGTCAATGTCTCACGGACAGCGGTGGAATCTTCGAATCGCCATGGTGATTCTTCGCCATCATGAAGTTTTGCCGCTGGGCCTTCTTCTCCTGCGCTGACATCGGCCCAAACTCTCAGGTCAAATCCAGTATAGTTACGGATCCTGTATGGAGCATCAGCGCCTCTTGGCTTGGAAAGAACATCCTCGTGTGTAGAGAGGAACTGGAAAGATTTGGATGCGAGTGCAATCGTGGCGGATGTTACAGTAAGTTCCATTGTCTTGTGCGAATACACATCGAAAGAGAAGATATCTGGGTTGACCTCCTTCGCCAGATGGAATCCCAACTGCCAGGGCTCGATCAGCGGCTCCCAGGCCGACTTCGAGAAGTTGTACACATTTAAGAACGTTTCAAAAGTTGTATCGGCATTCAGCGTTGATGACCAGTCGCGCACATCGACGTTAAATTTCTTGACGCTCCAATCGAGCAAAGGTAGATCGTGTAGGTCGCCAATAAGAATAACTCTAACTCCGTCGATCTTGGCAGAAATCTCTTCGCGCTTTAGAAGAACAGAACTTTGTGGCGTAATTGCCTTATCCAGGTTTGCAACGCCTTGACTCAGGCGACGAGCTCTCTTAGCAATGGTAGAGGACGCCTTGCTGGTCGAACGCCCTCTGGTTGTTTTAGCATCCGTGATTTTCTTCGCGTCTCCGCCCTCAACCGGCTGGGAAGTCTGAGCCCTCATCTCAGAGGCTTTGTTGACAATCTGGATTGCCATAAGAATATCACGCAGAGATAAGCGAAGGACCAGAGGTTCAAGATGCACCTCGATGGAGGTCAGAGCAGATCCCTTTTCTTGCGCTCGGTTATCGATGGACATTTCAAGTGTGAAATCATCCAGAATGCGGAGTCGAGACGTCTCAAACTTATCCATGCGGCACAGGAACATGCCCACTTTTTGGATCTGGAGAGTCGACACATTTTGGTGAGAGATAAGCACTTCCTTGGTACCAAGGACGATAGCTTCGGAGTGAGGAATGGCAGGGTTGGCCACCATGATCACTTGGGCGTCGACAAGGTTTACCCGGAATGATACGGTCATGGCCGCTCCTGTGGCATCGCCCGAAGAAGCTTCGGTTATAGCCTTGTCAGGAGTTGCAGCAGTATCAGACCCTGATTCAGACTCCTCGGGCGAGTCGCTCTCATCCTCCACCACCTCTACTGGTTCTTCAGAGGCAAATGCAGACTGGCTGAATGACTGCAAAGCAGACAGATAATCCAAAGCAAAAATGATACGAGGGCTGTCAATAGTCAACATAGCAACGAGATGCTTCTCTGGGCCCCCAGACATAGAGACGCTAGCCATGAACTGCTGCTGGACATCGTTGTTGATCAAAGACATGATGTTTCTGAACTTGTTCGAGTCCTGTTTGCGACTATCGCGGATTGAGAAGGAATGAATGAGAAGCTCTGACTCCAATGAGCCATCAGTTAACATGCGCAACTTGACTCGAGTGTCATTCAGAGAAAACTTGGACAGACTCGAGTCTTCCAGGTGACCGATGGGCTGATCGTCATTTGCTAGGATAAGTTCCAAGCCGACACTGTCGACCTTGAAGATCATGTCAAGTCGTACCCAAGTCTCTTTATTTTCGATGTCATCAGCGGGTGCTCCTCCCGGGCCATTTTGTGCCTGTACGGCCTTTGAAGTAGCATCCCTTGTAGGTTCAGTCACCGACGGCGGCAAAGACTCCATGGCCTCAAGCTCTTGCTGTTCGGCATCTGTGGCAAATGCACCCGGTATCGAGTTTGACAGCTCCAGCAAGAATTTGAGCTGGTTTTGGGAGATACGAAGGTTGATGGGAGACAAAGAACCCTCGATTTCCATGTCTGGGCGTGGGTTGTTTGCTTGGTGCTCCAGATAGCAAATGCTAAACTCCAAGTTCACCTTCTGAATCATCTCCAGCTCCTCGGCTGTGCCATCTTCGAAATGGAATTTCGAGGTAAGGCGAATATTGCGGACACCAGTGGAGATGACATTGACAGCAGGGCTATCTTTCCCTTCTTCCATGGGGACAAATTCATTCTTGGCATAGATTTCACCGAGGTGAGCAGTGATTGTGTCTCGAGGGCGACCATCCTTCATGGCACGAGGGAAAACTACAATTGGTGTCTTCACAATAATATCAAGCCGCACACGGGAGGCATTCTCCTGAAGTTGGTTAGCCTGACTGGCAGCGGCTTGGCGGGCTGCATTGAAAATGGCTTGCATCTTGCCAAACTTGACGAGGAAGTTGATAATCTTCCGGTAGGGCTCTTCCAGGAAATTGATCTTGATTGAACCAGACCGTAGATAGACCTCGGAATCATAGCCAGGGTAGGTGTCGCTCTCGGGGTCAAAGGTCTCGTACTTGAAGTCTGCGAAGTTATCTCCTTCTATCGTTAGAAGACGCCGAATATCAGAGTCCTCCGCGGCACCTAGGTTGACATCGTCAACCAAACTCAGGCTGCCTATCCGAGACTGAATGAGCATTGAGCTGCCCACGAGGAAGATACCGACGTCGGCAGTGTTCAAACTCAAGGTTGCCAAGCGAACTCCATCATTATTAAGGATGAGAGCAATACTTTTGAGATTAGCCCTGATACGAAGCTTCCCAGCTTGCTCGGGCTTTTCGTCTACATTGGGTGTTCCTTCAATGGTCTTGTCTGTTTCTGGGTTGGGTTCAGACGGTTGTTGAGGATCTGTGAATGTGAGAAGGATGAAGTCTAGAAGCGTGAGAAGTGTTTTCCTGGTCACGACAAGATTGATAGTCGAGACCGATATGTCAAGGTTCATGGCAACCCCTTCATACGTTGAGTCAAACTCGGGAGACTCAGGTTTGACCCGCACCATCTTCAGCTGGAACAGGTCCTTGTCTTCGTCGGCATCAAAGCCTTTAGAAGAGATAATTCTTTTGAATTCAGGAACCGGATTCTCCTCAATGTAATCATCCACGCTCAAAGATTTCAGAACGACCTCGGCGACCATGTCATAGGGACGCATATAGAAGTCCAGCTCAAATCCTTCAGCAACCAGTTCAACTAGCAACTGATCCCGCTGCGGGTCATGGGGGTCAGCACGGAAGAGTGAGCCACGAAGACGGCCCACAGTGAATTTGAACTCGAAGTCTCGGCGGTGGATATTAGTCGGTGTATCCACGGCTTTCTTCGCCTGCTCGTTTTCTGCTTCGACGTCCTCCTCCTCGTCATCATCCACAACAGGAAGGTCACGCTGGGCTGATGGTTGGAAGGATGATGATCTAGCTCGTGTGGCTATGGCTGCTTCTTCCTTGGCTATTGCTGCGGTAACTGGATCAGAGGCAGACTTTTCTGCATCGAATTGCGGGATTGCAATATCAATCAATTTCATGAGACCCTTGTATTTAGTGTCTGATATTGACGCATGAAGCTCTGGCAGATGCCCTGAGATGCGTGTTCGGGTAAGCTGTGTCACTTTCGGTACGATACACATCTCCAGGGCAAAGTCGACATTGATGCGGTCAATTATGTGGAAATTCCTAGACTTGACATTGGTGTTAAGCTGCGCTTTGGTTGCTTCAATTCCAGGCCCTATGAGGACTTGTGTGGAGTCCAGTTTGATGAGGAAGCGATCGTACAGCAGATGCTCGAGTTTCTTGTAATCGTCCTCTTCATACTGTTGCTTCTGCTTGGACTGAAGATCCCGCATCGCTTGGCGGTCGACTAACTCGCTGTTGACACTGGCATGACCGGCGTCGATAATCAAGCAAAGTGAACTTGGCTGTGTGATACTTTCTGGGACAATGATCAAGGGTGCGTGAATATCAAACTGAGCGTCAACCTTCTTGTGCTCTTGCAAGGCAAACTCGAGGCCTGCCCGGGTTTGCTGGCGTAGTCCTTCGACAGTGGCACCTGCGGTGTCTAATAGAGCACCAATCGACTCCATGTGTCTTTCAGGCGGCTCGAAGAATTGGACAATTCCCACGAGGAATCGAGGGTTGTAAATTACCTCAATACTCTTCAGCTTGACCTTCACCGCTGTATCAGCATCACTGTCGAGCGGGTTCTTTTCCAGCTGCAGGTGGAACAAACTGTCTTCATCCTGAAGATCGTCTGCGCTAGCTTGGGAAGCAATATCATCGTCGTCATCGCCTAGCTCTTGAATTTTCTTGGGTTCAGGTGGAGAATCCTTGACCTTGACAATCTGGGGATAAAGAGTCCCGGCAGTGGTGCCATCATACATCTTCAGTCCTCCGAGGTCAAGGTCAAGGAGATAAGAATCATGGCGTTGAAGTGCTTTGGCTCGGAAATTGTCAAACACCAGCTTCATGACTTCATTGGCTGACCCGTGAGGGTCCTGGATCAGGGTGAAGCTACCAGCACGAAGACTCCAATTGACTTGAAGCTTAACCCATTCGCGGGGCACATCCACACTCTCGGCGATAGCTTTCTTTTCGTCCCAGTCAATGGCGTTATACAGCTCTTGCCGCTGTTCTTCGGTCATGGTGGTCTCCTCGGACTCTTCTTTCTTGGCCCCCCAGAGCCAGGCAGACCATGATTGCTGTCCTGCAGGCTTCTTCACCCCAACGTTTTCTTTTCGTAGTTGATTTCTCGCAAGTGAGCGCCAGAATCGGATATCCTCGTAGCTGAGTTTTGCTTCCAGCTTCTGCATTTGCTTGGTTTCTTCGGGTGTGAAGGCTTCTTCCTTCTTTCTTTTCTTGAACAAGGCAATGTACGCGATGCGGTCATCTCTGCGCTCCTTGATATAGTCCCAGGTCCAGCGTCTGTTGCGTTCGTGGATCTTACTAAGAACGGCTTCTCCTGCGAATCTCATCCATGCCCCAGGGTCTTCTTTTGGTGATGCCTTGGGCTGGATTTTCTTATATTCCTGGTGTCGGATGAAATAATGGAACAAATCGACCAGCATCAACGCATCGCGATATTGTTTGTCATCAAGAACGAAGCCAAGCTCATCGAATAGCAGGCGTGCTTTGATTGCAGGCCGATCATATTTGCCTGACTTGTTCATCTCTAGTCCGGCACGACCACTGACGGGACGTAGCATAAATTGATTTCCTTCGTCGGCATCAATGGCAGTCTTCAGTTTTTCCATCAACTCAGCACGGCTGATTCCCTGGGCCTCTGCGCCTATATCGGAGCCTCGCCCGGTCCCGAGCAGTGTGGCATCTGTATTCCAATAAACTGAGAGAGCACCGAGGACGGCTAGCTTATGCGTGACACTGGAGTCAGACTGAATAAAAGTCGGATTCCATTCCCCGTCCGTGCTGACAGCACTCAATTCCTTCAGTGTCACGCCGACAGCAAACGGATGCCCAGGTGATGAGATAGAGTCTTCGTAGCGAAAGTGCACATTCTTGATAGAGATCTGCAGGTTGTCTACCACGGCCGTGATCATGCTCTGTGTGAAGCTTTGGTTCCGGCGCTGTTCCTCTTGGCTCATGCCTTCCGCATTGCGCTCGCGCAGAATCTCGGCGCTCTCAATTCGTTCCATCTTCAGCGCATTTTCTCTCTTTTCTTCCTCCTCGGGATCGTAATCCGCATCTTCTCTGGGTGCCGCGAGGAGGAAGACATCTTCAATCTCGACTTTCACTGGTTTGCCTCGTAGATTTGACCATGGAATGGATAGTGTGAGCTGTCCGAGATGGCCTTCGACGACATTCAGAGGGAGGCGTAGCTGATCGAGCGCTTCACGGCGCAGTTCAAGGTTCCGTAGCTTGACATCGCCTGACCAAATTCCGATGTTGAGCTGGGTCGCGTCGAAGTTCTTGACGTAGTATCCCAGGAACCGGTTGAGTAGATTAGCAACCACTCCCTCCAACATTTTCGCGGCTAGCAGCCGTAGACCGGGCCTGGCGGTTGGGCTCTATGGCCAGGGCGGATGTCAGTAGGTCAAGGATTTGATGATAGTCTGTTATTGAAAGCCGTTCCCAAGTCAGTCGCGATCCAAGCGAAAGTGAAAAAGGACGCTTCTTCATGAATAGGGGATCTTACGCAGTAAAAAATCTGCTTTCAAGAACCCTGATGAAAAGGGGACATCCAAGCCATCCAACTAAGCGGGCTGGGAGCACGCGCGATACCGAGGTGGAACCCTTCCCCTCCAAGCAGAGCGGAAATCGGATTAGATGACTGACTAGGTGTCAGATCAAGGAAAGGAAAACGTAAAGTAATCACAAGCGCTAAATTAAGAGAGAATGGTGTTGGGTAGGTATCCAAGTCAAGCTAATGACCCTGATTGCGTGGATTAAAAGAGGTGATGTCCGTTACGCAAGTTGTATGGAGGTACACAGTACAAACAAGGTACAGCTTATTACGCCCAATGGCGGGTATCATACCCGACTACCAAAGTAATTGAAAGGTACCCAATACTCAAGCTACAATACACTTGGCACTACGTGGGTAGTTGGGGGCCAGTGGTAATATATATTCTGTTATCAAGGCTGTTGAAGCACGAGGCAATGCACTTAAGAACCTGCAATAGTACTGTATCGTACAGGGGGATACACTTGTTTACCCCAGTGACGTAACCAGCGTTAGGGCAGCAGCCCCCGAACCTGACCAGTTGGCCGGCTTTGATGCCTGAGGCTCAAATATTTGCCCCGAGCTACGATTTGCAGTTCGGGTCGCTGCGGTCCGCCCGAATGCAGACCACACCTCATCACTCGGTCACTTCATTTCTAGATATTCTTATTTGTTCCCCCCCCGGAAAATCTACGCCGTCGACTTTGTGATCAAGTCACTTTCCGGGTCTATACCCTTCATCTCCACTCTTCCACTTTTGTCTAGCTTTTTCAAGGCCAATTGGGTGCGTTCACAATTCACACTGCTCTCCGGCCATACCCGAGGCTTTTCTCCTGCGACTTGCTAACCCGACAACGAAAAAAGCTGTATATCTCGCCATGTTCCGCAACGCCGCTGCCCGCTCTGCGCTCCGCGCATTCTCGAGCTCCAATGCTTCCGTGGCTCGCTCCGCTCTGGGCAACCAGATCTGCAAGGCCCAGATGACCTCGTCTGCCCGCAATCTGCTCCGTCCCGCCTCGTCGAGCTTCGCGCTCGCCGCTCACAAGCCTGTCACCACTGCTCTTGTGCGCTACTCGTCTTCCTCGGCTAAGGTAAGAGACGACATGTGTATGCACTTGCGCAAAGGCATCCAATGGCTAATTGCCGGTACAATAGCACGATGATGACGATATCGATGTTATGGCGGGTATGAAGTCCGAGGCGGTACGTATCTACACTCGATCGTGAAGTCGAGTCTTCCATATGCTAATTATGCAATCGGCAATGTAGAAAGTCATCAAGGAGACCTTCAGCCTGACTGGGGTCCCCAAGGAGGCCCTTTATCTTGGTATGGCTGGTGTCGTCCCCTACCTGGCCACCTCTCTGCAGACCGTCTTCCTCTCCTACGAGATCAATCGTGCCGCTGCTCTCGGTGACGGTCTGGTCTTCTCCGGTCAGACCGCTGAGTTGATGCTCCACATGATTGAGCCCATCCAGGTCGGCTACGGTGCCGTTGTGAGTGATCCCGAGTCTAGACTAAACCTCTTGAGTAATCGATTAGAGTTTACTAATCGCCGTTTATGGTTAGATCCTTTCTTTCCTCGGTGCCATCCACTGGGGTCTTGAATGGGCTGGCTACGGCGGCAAGTTCGGCTACCGCCGCTACGCCGCCGGTGTTATCGCCCCCGCTGTGGCCTGGCCTACTCTGATGTTCCCCGTCGAGTACGCTTTGATCAGCCAGTTCCTCGCTTTCACCTTCCTGTACTACAACGATGCGCGTGCTGCCGCCGCTGGCCGTGCTCCTCACTGGTACGGCATGTACCGTTTCGTGCTGACCTTCGTCGTCGGTGCCTCCATCGTGGCTACCCTGATCGGCCGTGAGCAGATCCAGCAGACCATTACCACCGAGCACAGCATCAATGACAAGTTCAGAGCTCTGATCTTCTTGCAGAAGAAGGAGAAGGAGGAGGCCGAGGCTCGCCGTCGCAGCGAGATCGAGGATGCCGAGTAAATTTGCCTTTTGACAAGGCGAGGGGTGTGCCCCAAGACTGATCTCTATGTTTGCATTACCCGTGATTTCCTGTAGAATATACGCAGAACGCACTAGGGCGGCCACTGAAAGTTTCTTTTGTTCAATTGGAGTGTTGATTGTTGGAGACCCGAGTTCTCGTCCAAGTAGCAATGTTTTTCTTTGTCTTTTGAGAGGATTTGAACCACTCATCGAGTGGGGAGTAGATCAATGGGTTACGGGTCTGGGGATGTACAAGGACCTGGGTAGTATCACGAGGCCCATGTATGGGCCCCATGGAAAAAAAGAATTTGGGGCGAAACGCATTCAAACAACTACACGCGTTTGACGACACATATGTTTTGGGAGGTGCAAAAGGACCAAGATCCATATTCCATACATGGATCTATATAAAGCGTGATCATCGGCTTCCCTGGTCGGGTTGCCGCACATCAGAGTGGAGGGGTAGAAGGAATATGTAACGGGACAATGATACTCGGGTGGGTCTTGATAGAGTCACGGGGTGCCGAAAATATTGACTAGAGATCTTTGGAAGAACTAGCTCAAAACGCTTCCGAATATTACGGAAAAGATGCGCTCTGGTGGAGTGGGATTTGGCTTGAAAATGTTTAGGGAAGGTAAAGCGAGAGAGCTGCATGCGAGGTACACAGTAACGCCCGATGGCGCCAGAAAACATGCTGGGAATCCACCTAGATCGGCCTTCTCTTGTCTTTTTCTTTGGCCCTTTTTTTACCCTTGTTTCTTCTCATCTCCATCTCGCACGTCCCTGTCCCTAGCAGGTTTGACAAGATCCTCATCTCCACGTCTCGAAAATGGGCCTCTCATAGGACAATCAGGCCGGTTCACCATGACCGGTTCTCCATGGGGAAGAACCTGGTACTGAAGACGTCATCTTCCCGGTATCGATGAGTTAGCGATTCGACTATGCTACATCAAGCATAAATGCCAATGTCCCAATGTCCCAATGCTTCAGACCAGGATCTTTGATCAATCAAAATGAGATCCGGGAAGTAGGGAGTTGAGATCAGACACCGTTCCCCAGAGAGGGGGTTTGATGCGCTCGAATGTTCTTGGCCGCGACTAGAGCCCGCTCTTTCCGGGAATGGGGATTCCCCATTCCTTATTTTCTGCTCTTCTCTTCCCCATAGGCTGGACTCCCCATTCACTAAGTCAATATAATTCTTCCTAGTGGGATTTTCTCCATGAATAGGAATGATTCAAGTAATCTGCACAGAATGTAGACTAATGGAAAAGGGGGTTCTAGAACTAAGGGACCGCAGGGGAAAAATGGACCGTGTCATGTGTACGATCGACGGAGGCTTGTGGAGTGCCTGGGCTTGGAGAGATGGGGTTTAGGGATCGAATAGATTTATACACCTCTAGTCTCTAGACATCAGTCTATCTCGACCATGTACAATCTAGAGAGGGGAGATGGACAGAATTGAATTGAAGTTCGAGGGAAAGATCTATCCAGTTGGCAGTTGAAGCTATTAATAAAGAGCCCAATAGTGGGGGGAAAGGTGACGAGGTCTTCTGATCAGAAAAAAATCCCCCGAACCGGATTTCTCTCTCTTTTTTTTTTCCACCCCCCACCTGGGCTTTTTCCAAGATGGTCCACCCCTTTGGATAAGAGGGCCCCCTGGGTGCTTTCTGTAAGATCTTTGGTTCTCTCCTTTCTTTCTCTACCCTTTTTTTTGGCTATATACGCGACCTACTCAACCTACACCTCAACACCTCAACACCTCAATCTGCGAATGACAACTTGTCCGCTTTTCTTATAACTGTCATCCCGTTCTATACCTGGCTACTTCTCTGATACGTCACGCTCCACTTTTCTGCCACGGGAGCTGGTCCCCGTATCTCAACACCGCCACCTCGTAGTTCTCTTCCCCCTTCGTCATTCCCCTCTCTAAACCCTTGAGGACAGTAAAATCAGTCTTCTCACTTTAATACCTCTTTTTTTTTTCTTTTTTTTCCATTTTGAAAGATGCGAAACCCATTTGAGTTGGACTTTGAAAGCGTCGATGGAGACTCCGAACCCGCCCAGGATTTCGAGGGCCCCGAACAACATGTGTTTCAGCATGTTGAGGACAAACAACGGCAACAATTGAACCTCAACTATCGTCCAAAACAGAGTGACGATGGAGACCGTTCTTTGCTGCAGGATGAGCAGGATGAGGATGAAATGAAGCATCGATTCATTGGTACCATTGACCAGGGTACAACGAGCACACGATTCATCATCTTCGACTGTACAGGCGTTCCCATCGCTAAATACCAAACTGAATTCCGCCAAATTCATGAACACCCAGGGTAGGTGGTTGAACGAAACTCTCTCTTTGCAAATCCCGACTCGAATATTAATTGCCCCGCACTCCCACAGATGGCACGAACAAGACCCTTACGAATTGGTGGAGTCGGTCTATATCTGTATCGAGGAGGCCATGAAATCCTTCCTTGCCCTTGGCTACACCACATCCGACATTGAAGCCATTGGCATCACCAGCCAAAGAGAAACCGCCTTGGTCTGGGACTGGGAGACCGGCGAGCCCCTGCATAATGCAATCACTTGGACCGATACTCGTACCGTCAACCTGGTACGAGAACTGAAGGAAAAGCCCGGCGCCGATGACCTCCGTAATATTTGTGGTCTACCCCTCTCCACATACCCCTCCTCGGTGACGCTACGATGGATGCTCGACCATCTGCCCGATGTCAAGTCGGCATATGACGATGGCCGGGCCGCATTTGGAACCGTCGACAGCTGGCTCATCTACAACCTCAATGGGGGTCCT